TACAATGAGTAAATGAAACTAATTTCTTTAGCATGAAACTATTATAAAGGCTAGAATGATTAAAGTAATTAAATTGCATATATATTAATGTTTTACATTTTTAAAAATTAATTTAATGCTCTTGAGTAAAAAGGAATATTAAATTATTGGGTTTTATTTACTTGAAGTTCTTCATCCGTTAGATTTTCACACAAAATATTTGCAACTCTCTTTAAATTTTTGAATGAAATACGACCATTTCCTTCTTCGTCAAAAAGTCTGAATGCTTTGAGTAAATCTTCTTTAGAATCTTTTTCCGAAATTTTTTTGGTCATCAGCGACAAGAATCCATTGAAATCAATTATGCCTAACGAAAAATTATCATTGAATTTATACCTGTGCTATCTTTATCGTACTCGACTATTAGTTTTCGTAATTCATCACGAGATGTTTCAAATCCTAATGCTCTTAAAGCTATCTTTATTTCCTTAATGTCTATAGTTCCAGATCCATCTTCATCAAACAGATCAAAGGACTCTCGCAATTCTTGTTTTTGTTTTTCATTAAGCTCAAAATGTAGTGCCCCTCTGTCAACATATGGTGAATCTTTCTTAAAAGCTTTAGAATTACTAGATTTTGTCTGTTGTTAACCTTTTAAAATTTTAATAATAATACCTCAGAAACAGCCATACTTTTGGCCAAATAGATTAATGCGCCTAGTTGAGTGTATAGCAACTAATATAAACTAATCTTAAAAACAATTTGAATAAAAATAAAAAATTTTGATACATAACTATTCTATTACATTTTTGACAGTTCGTATAAAAAACTATTTTGAATAGTATATTTGAATTGCATGCATATTACTTCTTTCATTGATTTCTGCTAACTTTTTATGATAGAAAGAGATATTTTATAAATAATTTAAACAATACTCAATCGTGTTATAAAGAAGAGTCAGTTAGACACACCTTATCCGAACTCCTCTGCTATAGTACTTATATTAATTCCTCATATCGCACTGTGTACTTGCTATTTTTCCAGACATTTCGCCTGCATTGTTTAAGTCAGAATCATGTTCGACATCGCTAGTAAGGATTGCCATTCTCAGCACCAAGCCACTACTCTTCAAAAAGACAAATAAAGTCTATCTCTTTGCCAGCCTTCTGCCTAACGGTTATGTTATTGCTCCTATTTCTGTCCCGGCACATTTACCTACTCCCTACCATCTTATCTAGTTCCACCATATCACAAATTCTGAATTGCTTACATTTCCCTCCTCAAAAGGTGTGACATGTTTGCTGAGTTTAATGTGACGTCATCATAACTGCTGCTTACTTTAGCTTACTCCCATTCGAATGGGTGATCCGACTCGGGCCTCCTATCCAAATCTGACTTATGGTCCCGTAGATCCGTTTCTTACCTTTCTAGTTGACTTATTTCACTTAATTCTTGTACCAGGGAACGTCGTACTCCATGCACTATTTCTTAAGCCTTTTGTAGCACGTATACTGCTACCATATCGAGCAGAGATAATTGACTCTGATTCTCATGCTTGCAGATATCAAATATTTTCTTCACGAATCATCTCCTTGATTTAACCAGCGTACCCTGAGAAAATTGTTGGCGTCTATACCTTGTCGCCTACTGCCTCTAGAGTGGATTTCTAGTCAATTTGACTATAATGCTGAATTTCTGTGATGGTTGTGTTTATCTGTCTCCCACCTTTCAGCTACCTTCCAATTGATACGATGTCCATTCTTTGTATTGTGTTCCGTTATTTCTGACCTTTCAGCAACCATTTTACTACAGAAGCCTTGATGTTCTCCAATTCCTATGCAATTTTTTCTCCCTATTTCTCCAATATATTTCTGTTTGCACAGCCTGCATGCTTTCCAGTAAACGCCCTAAAAATCCTAATTTTCCACCCTCTCCTGTTTCGTGGGTAGACTTGTGAATGGTATTGTTTTTTCTTTCGTCGCCACCTGAATATTCCATTTTCTTAATGTTGACCGTAGTTTTTGAGTTGTTTCTTATGAAGGTAGGCATATACACCTTTGTAAGTCTTCCTCTATCTTTAACTTTACTTCAAAACCCTCGTCTCGTCATAAAGTTTTCGCAACTTATATGTTTCAAATTGTCTGCAGGAAGATAAAACCGAAATGTCAGAAATAGTCAACAACATCGTATGGACTAGATACGATATCACTTGTAAAGCAACTGCAACATTAGGAAAGCCAGTGATATTCTAGGGTAAAAAATCTAAAGAACGGGAGTTTGGAAGAAGGCAGAGTTAGAAATAACCTTGCCTATTGCATAATCAAACTCGGAGAAAACAATGATATAACAAGACATGCTAAAAGGAGACACTTGAATCTATGCTATATAATTAAGCATAGGGAAATAGATCTTAAGGAAGAAGTAGGTGAAGGAGCTTCGTAACTTAAATAAAGATTGTATCAGTGAGTGTAGTCTGATCAAAAAAGCAACTACAAATTTGGAGGCCTGCCGATCATGTGACTAAAGGAACGGATAAATACAACCATCGGAGAGATTCAGCATTAATTCCAAAGTGACCTTGTCACTTTCTGCCTATCGGGTGAAGTAGGTGCTACTGAAGGTTTAAGAAGTAACGGATGGAATAAAAAGTGCTCTGAAACAAGTAAAACCAGTCAACTAAAAAGGTAAGAAATGGATATACGGGACGATGAGGCATATCTAGATAGGAGGTCTGAGTCGGATCACCCAATCGAAAGGGAGTGGGCTAAAGTGTACATCAGTTATCATGACGCTACTTTAAATTCGGCAAACATTTCACACCTTATGAGGAAGGAACTGTAAGAAATTCAGAAGTTGTGATAGGGTAGAATTAGATAAGATGGTAGAGAGTAGATAGATATGCCAAGACAGAAAGAGGAGTGATAGAAAAACCGTTTGGCATAAGGCTGGCCAAGGTATAGACTTGACTTGTCTTTTTGACTAGTAGTGGCTTGGTGCTGAGAATGATAATACTCACTGACGATTTCCAAGACGATACCGACTTTAACAATGCAGGCA